CTCTGGGAGTTGAAGTCCACAGGTCTTAAAGTTGCCAAGGTTGGAGACTACTGAGATAGAGCAATTTAGGATTCTGGAAGCTTGAAGCATATTCTGTTTTTCAAAGGTTCTGCGCTTTTCAGTAGGTTTAATAGCTTTATTGATAGCTGATGTCTGCCATCTACTGGACAAGTAATGACCCTTCTCTGATTCTCCCACCAATTCTGGACTCGCCGCTGCATTCAGAATCCCAAATCTTTGTCTCTTGTACATTTTCTTCCACTTAAGAGTATTCTTTTCAAGGCACAATGTAGTTCTTCTGAAACTGTATCCAGCTTTTCAGATACAAATGCAGTTCAAATTAATATATTCCGTGATTTATTATTAGATGAATTATCAGGTTACAAACATTTTAAAAACCATTTAATCATAAAACCTCAAAGAAGGCATCTCTGTGCCAAGAGCACCATAACCTTAATCAAGTCCAATCTTCCTATTGGTAGCTGTGCCAGGAAAAAAATCAACTATTTGGACCAGAAGTCGCCATTTGGGGAATGCAAAGTCCCTACCTAGTTAAGCCAATTTAAAGTAGTGGTTAAGGCACCAAGCTAAAAACTAGGGGACCTTGAGTTCTGATCCCACTTTAGGTACAAAACCAACTGGCTGACCTTTTTCTCAGTCCTAGGAAGAAAATAAAACAACAGCAACAGCAACAACAAAGTCCTACAGGAAATAGTTCAGATAGTTGCCACGGATTAACATTGACTCAAAAGGACCAAAAGAGAGAGTGTGAACTATTAGTAGGATGCCTTTACAACAAAAGCACAGTACAGACTGAAATTTATGTTGCTGAGAGATATAGTCATAAAGCACAATGGTGCACAACCACACCACTTAGTGATGGCAATCCCAGCAATTCCAGTTGCTGTTGTTTTAATGAGGACCATGCAGGTCGTTCAATGAGAATCTTATGTGATCACGACAACTTAAGAGGGACTGAAGGCAAGCAAGACCTACAGTGGGTTGGCAAAAGCTACATTCAAGTGAGTGCCATGGGCAGGCAGTAGAGAATGTGGAGTACAACATCCCCATTCCGCTCTGGGTACCTTGGGAACAAAAAACAGTGCAAGTAGGAGGGACTCATTGGAGCAACTTGTAACCTCCCACCAGCTTCCCCCGTTGAATTTGAAAATGGCAGGGAAGAGCATAATTGGCGATTATGCGACCGCAGGACACTGCAACTGTCATCATTGGAAGCTGGTTTCCAAGTGCCCAAATCATGGTCACATGACTGCAGGGACACTGCAATGCTGCAATTTTGTAAATTTGAACAGTTGCTAAACGAGTGGCTGTAACCCAGGGACTTCCTGTATTCAATAATAAATATATAATATATGATTTTCAGCTATGGTATACAAGTCATTGTACAAATTGTTCATTTCGGGTATTTGGACTGTTTTCATTACTAAGTAGTTTTTAACTATTATAAAACAGTCTCCCAAAGTCATTTTTGTGAGATAAGCAATCATTTAAATCTATTAAAGAAATGATGTATTTTCTTAGAGAAGGACATAAACGTATAATTTTTAGAGCTCTTGATTTTGTATGTGTTTTCTGATGATGATGAAAAAGTTATTTTTTTAATTAATTTCCTAGGACTCTTCTGCAGCAGTTACAAAAGCTACAATCTCTGATTGCAGGGAAGGTTTCCAGGCCTTACAAAATGGTCTCTACACAGACAGGAACATGCCTGATGGTAAGGTCTATGTAGTATCCTTTTAAAACTTTCTTTGTAGACATATCATTTTCCATTCATGGTGAACTTGGCTTTGAAATTTTGCAAAGTTAAGGACAGATTACCCAATTGCTGTTTGGCCCATTGCCGTTAAGGATGCTCATCTCTTCCTGAAGGCAGAAAAGGATGCTGTTTTCCCATTCCTGGTCCATTGCAAATGTACACCTCACCCACATTTCCAGCTTCAAATCAAATCAGCTGTTTTCTGATCTGGGAATCTGAAGCCCTTCAGAGAAGATGGTCTCTGAAAGTTTGTTCCATTCTAATAACAACCTCCAACAACACAATATCTGTTTTGCTCCCTCTCTCCCAGAGGTAGGTTCCTACCAGTTCGCACCTATTCAGTAGAACCGGTTCGTCAAATCTACCAAACCAGTTAGAAGAGGTTCCACCAGTGGACCCGGAAAGCAGGCCACACCTACAGAAGAGGTTCCAAAAATTTTTGAAACCCACCACTGCCACCCACACACACACACACACACACACACACAGAGAGAGAGAGAGAGATAAAAGAGAAAGAGAGGAAGAAATAAATAAGTAAAGAAAAAAGAAAGAAAAAGTGATAGATGAAAGAAGAAAAGAAAAAAGGGACAGAGACAAAAGGAAGGAAAGAGAAAGAAAGAAAACACATGGCCGGCAAGCCACTCCCACCAGGTCACATGGCCGGCAAGCCACTCCCACAAAGGAGGTCACACCCACAGAGTAGGTTCCAAAATTTTTTGAAACCCACCACTGCTCTCTCCCAATAACTGGTTAGTGCCCGGGGTAGTCATTTCTTTCTAAGCTGTTCGGTTTCAATCTCTGCTGGTTAATAGTGACTGATTTTTATAATCCTGGGGTTATAAATATTGGTTTCTGAAGGGGGGGGTAGTATTGAAAGGGTTTGAGTTAGTGTCTGAAAACATAATGTGGGAAAGGGATGGCGGTGAAGGCATCTATGTGCACACATCTAGGAAAGCAAAGGAAACACCCAGGGACTCATGAACAAGGAACAGTCCCTGGAAGGGAAAGACAAGCATTAATAGACCATTCTACACAGGAGTCAGCCAACCTATCAGGCTGTCTTCCCTGTGTGAATGGAAAAAAACAAAAAGCAAGGGAGTGGCTCGCAATCAAGTCTTGCATAGTATAATGGTATGTGAGAATGACCTTGGAAGACAGGGGGGAAAGCTATAGGCAGGGAAATAATAAATGAAATTTGAACACAAAGGACAAAAATAAGAGAAAACATCCCAGAAGGGACCCTCTCTAATTTTCAGGAGAATAAAAGTAAGGGACAGGAGAGCTACTTTCAGACCTGCAAGATTCTGTTAATTCAATCTTACAATAAAGATAGAATTAGTACTGAAGGCTGTGCTTCTCGTGTTTGGATTCCCTTGAAAGGGTAATGCATGGCTGCAATTTGGACTAAGCATCTTCTCTGTCTCAGTTAAGAAACAGCTGGGACATTGCATAAGGCAAGCAAAATAGGCTGCAGTGTGAAATTGCTCTTAGTATTGTAAAGTCACTTTTGCAGAATAAAAACAATAGGGATGAATATTTTTAGCTTACTTGCTTAGATGATCAACTTGCTTCCCCTTCCTCTATTCCTTACTTTGAATAAACTTTTGTTAGCTATTGCATCAGGAGAATTTATATAATTATTTTCTAATCACCAAATGTAGCTTGAATTATGGTATTTCTGCATACGCTGAATCCACAGCATAAGATTTATATTGCAAACTTCATAGAATGAGTAATGTTCCTTCCTGTAACCATCAGCTGAATGTGTGGTTCATCCTCCTCGCTTCCCACTCCAAACCAAGGAATTTTTCTAATGAATGCTAATGGGCTCTTACCTCTGGTATAAAAATAGCAAAAGCTGACATCCATTTTATAGCTGTCACAGGAAACTTCATTGTAAAAAAACCCATAATGGTACAATTTTTCTATCAATTTTAAATGAAAGTTGAATAAGTTTAAAATATAATTTACCTTTGTTCCATTCTGGCGAAAATAAAGACAGCTTCAGATATGCATTCTCTGTGCTGCAGATTCAAAGTGACCAAATAAAAGATTATTATTTGATGAATTGAGCCCAAATTACCATCCCACTCTTTTTTCCCCCCTTTCATTACAACTTTAAAGTTTTCTCCTTTTCTGGTAAAGTTTTCTGGGCCTGTGAATTTCTTCCTGATAGGCAAAAATTGAGCAGATGAAATTTTCTTCATCCCTAAATCACTTGCTGGGGAAAGAATATCAATTTTAGATGAGCAGAAAAAGAATATTGTTTCAGTAGGACTTTAATATTATTCCTCCTATTCTTACCTAAAGATGTGCTTGTAGGGTGAAACAAATCATGCAAGGTTGTGCTTGGTTTGTAGTTTATTGGATTTATATGCCGCCCTTCTCCCAAGGACTCAGGGTGGCGTACAACATTTTAAAAACACATATTACAAAAGTTTTTTTAAAAATTAAATAGAATATGCAAGGTTCAATTCCTCCTCAGTGGCAGGCTCAATGTAGACTATTCCTGAACTCTGACCTATAGCATGTAGTTAAAGGGCTGGATGAAAAATATGCTGAGTGTGTATGGTGACCAGAGGTTTTTGGAAGCCTGATATCATTTTGAAAAGCCTATGAATGTATTTGCCACTAACTTCAAGTTGCTCTATGAAGGAGATGGGTAGTGTCAGGCATGCCTCCCTCAATAACAAAGAAAACTCCCAATTCCATTTTTCGTGGAATTAAAATACTTTTATTGGTTATGAAGAGATAGCAGTGAAAGTAAAGCAAGATCTGAGCCAGAAAGGCGCGAACAAGTACATATCAAATGATAACCCACCCCCCTCCCTCCATTGACCCCACCCCAGTGTCCAATCTGCAACCCCCTTAGGTGTCATGTGGGATGCATCTCCAAAAGGCATCATCATGTTGGTATGCAGGACGGCTGGCCTTGACCAGTCCAAATACCGGCTCCACCATGTGCAGAAGATGGTGAGAAGAAAACTCCCTTTTCCTTATCACCTCCTGTACCATTTATTCCCATCCCAAATATCATGCCCCCACCCTCCCCGTTTCTACCCAGCCGATAGCAAGTAAGGGAAACCGATAGCAAGTAAGGAAAGCAGAAGCTGACAGGTAGTTTCTAAATGTGATATACAAATAAATAAGTGAAACTTCCCTGTGATAGACTGGAATGATTACAAGTTTAAATCTGTTCTTAAATTCTTGTAAACACGCATATCTTTAAAAAAAATTTAAATGTATCCATAAACTGGAAATACGGTATATTGATTTTCCTAAATATATTTCATTTATTACATCTATAGCTCATCTTTCCCACATGAATAATTCATAAGCTTTATGGCTCAATAGAGAAGTGAGACTGGGTTTCCCTTGTTATAGTTACTTCTCCATTACAAAGTTGTTTTGATGATTTCCAGCTCTTCTCTTTCTTACTATTCCTCTCTTCAAATATCCTTTTTATTCAGTCAGTGCACTGAATGTTTCTACTATGTGTTTTCCCCCTTATAGGTCCTGGTGCTGTGCTTTGTTCTGGTTTTGGGCTCCTTGATGCCATGTCTCCCAGAATTCTCAACAACATCACAAACAGTAAAAGCAGCTCCGACGCCAGACATTTACACAACAAGTAAAAGTGAGTCAAATGTGAACTTTTCCTTCATTACTAAAAGCTTCTTTAATGCTTCTTTAATACTTAATGATCCTTCTTTTCCAGGGATAACCCCATCATGGTTCATTTTATCCAGAGATATATCATGGTATTGCAGGGGCAGGTAAAATGTGGGAGTTTGAGTTGTGGGCCCTCTGCTCTTCTAATTTCTAAGAACACTTGGTGGCCCACCAATATTATTAAGAGTGTAGAGGCTTTTTTTTTTGCTTCCTGTTCATTTGCTTAAGGATACAAATGGGAGGGTGTTCTGACCCCCTCCTCTGTCCAGTAACAAAAGCCGAGACAAGCATAAAATGGAATGTCCTTTAATAACAAGACCAGAATCTCGGTGGCTGAAAGCCAAATAAACAAACAGATAAGGACCTTGGCAGCAAGGCCGACAAACCTTGGCAGCACTTCAGACAAACTCTGGCAGCAATCCAGCCTGCCAAGTTTGTTTCTCTTTAGTCAAAGCGTTGACTTCTGCAAGAAGGGCGTGGCACAAGCAGTCTCTTTTGTAGTCTGGAGAGGAGCTTAATGACCATCAGCTGAGCGTAATTACCTCCTGTAAATACATAGTTGTTCTTGACGCCGAGTAGCCCTTCGATGGCGTGCATCCCGGAACAACTCACTGTTGCTTTCTGGATCACTCTCTCTTGTCTCCTCCCCACTGATCCAAGGCTCAGGCACCACCTGGTGGCCAACCAGTCACTCTGCACCCTGCTCGGAGTCAGAACCCTGTCCAGGGTCCTCCACATCCTCCAGGGCCAACTCATAAGGCCCCTCACTGTCAGTGTCTGGTGGCAGCTCCAACAGCTCCTGCCGGGCCACAATAGGAGGGGAAGCCTTTATGAAGCACTCCCATTGCAAGCCTAAAAAAATCCATAAATTGAATAATCATGTGAAATAATTGGGGAGAGCAATTTAGAGGCTGTTGGTGAGGGCAAGAATAAGTTTGCCCCCAACCCCCAGAACTCCTGCTCTCATTCCCGTCCTTTAACTTTTTCCAAAAAAACATATCTAGTCACCATTCCATCAATTCTAATACTGTGTGATTTGGGGTGTTTATGGATGGGAATTAGATGTGGAGCCTTCCCATTCCTATTCCCAACCTTATTTAACTTACACACATGAATTACAGCCCTCAAATTGGGCCGTTTTGCTCCAAATTTCAGCAGTGTGATTTCAGGGAGCAATGGAAAAATGTAAATCTCTGGCCAATAGGCTGTAATTTGTCCAATACTGGGATAATTAGATCTTGAGGTAACATCCTTCTGAGGTTTTGGTTGCAATTTTTTTTTCATAGTCATTAATTCAGAATGTATGATAAAGTTCCAATTTTTTGCTTCTTTTGTGTAACCATTAACTTACCTTGTTTTGTTCATTAATAAATTCATATCTACTTTTCTACTTCCTATTAGTAGTAGTACTCAAAGTGGCTTCCACCAATTAATCAAAATGCAGAACACTAAAATCAGTAGAGTTAAAGTTAGCATCATTAAAATAGATTAACAATGAAAAACAAATAGTTAAATGATGTATTCTTAGCATTTTTGTAAATAATGGGAGTAGGAAAGCAGCCACTGCCCTAGGGAGAACTTTTTGTGGCCTGGAAATTGCACAACAGAAGGCCCCATCCCACATAACAGACTGCCAAATTCTGGCAGCTAAGATATCTTCAGAAGGGCTTCTTCTGCTGATGTAAGCAACTCAGTAGATTTGTAAGACAGAGATGATATGCACAGATACCGTCTTAAGCTCTTTGGGGTTTTAAAGATCAACACCAGTGTTTTAAATTGTGTCTGACAGGCAACTGACATCTTGTACAGAGTTTCCAATGCAGACACCCTCAACGTCTATAATCTATAGCAGCCACATTTTGCCTCAGTCATGATTTCTATTCAAGGGCAGCACATATTGAGCATATTGCAGAATAGCTTTACCACACAGGTTATTGATATTTATTCCTCTAATTTTAAATTTTGTAATCTTCTTCCAAGTAGGGGCATGCATAAGTTCACCAGCATGCCTAACGTCCCTGTCCTACTGTCCCCATTTATTTGTACCCATTTCCTGTGTTCTTATTCATGTTTATTCTTATTCCTGTTATCTTGTACATGAGTGATAAACTAAATAGATAGATAGATAGATAGATAGATAGATAGATGATAGATAGATAGATAGATAGATAGATAGATAGATAGATAGATAGATAGATAGATTGATTGATTCAGTTTCCCTCCATATACAGTACATTTGGTATGTAGTCTGAATAAATAAAGGGGAAGTACATAGCTTGTCTTACTCCTCTGTCAACCCTGACCTAGTCTGTTTCGCCATACAGGGAAGGGTACAGGTTTTGCACAAGATCATAAGATGTTCTGGGATTCACATTTTCCAAAGCACCTTCCAGATCTTAACATAGTTGACACAGTTGAAGGCCTTTCTATATACAATGAAGTATATATTAATTTCTTCTTAATGTTTTTTGTGTTCTCAGTTATTCAACCTGCATTAGCAATAATTTTGTTCCCTGGGCTCTTCTAAAACCAGCTTGAATTTCTGGCAATTCCATTTCCATGTATAATTCTTACCTGCACTGAATGATCCCAGAACTATTC